CATACACTAGGTTTATGCCACATGCTAACAGTTGGTATTAATGAGTAATCATATGAGTAAATGAGCATGGTATTGGGTCGATACCTGACACCAGTGTTGGTATCAATGCATCCCTAGTATTTTCACATATTTAACAAAACTAATATGGTAGAATCTCCTAAAAAGAAAATCACAGATAAGAGTTACTGTTCATGATAATGATCAGTTGCAAAAGCTTAAAAAAGTTATTGGAGAATTTTAAAAACAGCTATTTCTTTAATAAGTAAGTGCTGAGACATGTTTATAAGAGGTAAACATCTCAATTACTGCCATACACAACATTTTTAAAAACTACATATAAACAAATTTTGAAAATGGTCACCATGTTCAGACTTCCATAAAACACCACATTCACACATAAGTACAAGGTTATTTTCATGTGTGGTGTAGCAGTGCTTGGTCTACGTGGGGTATCTCCAAATTAATAAATATCCAATTGAAAACCTTACACTACAAAACATGTTCCTGTAAATCACACCAGTGTTCACATTCTGAGAAGTTTCATAGTTAATCCTGAAAACACTGGAGTAATAGTCAATACATCAGTTCTGTCTTATCACCAAAGCCTGATAAATTTAAGTACATACACACAACTTTTACAGCACAACATTTTCATGTGTCTGTTTTAGTGATTAATAATGTGTTAACACGTTAGATTATTAACACCACTAATTTTTTTCATGTATTTTCCTAATATGGCCACTCAAATCACATGTAGTTCCAGCCAGAAGCACTGCTGCTCACACACTTGCCGTAACTCCACAATACAGCTGATAAAATGTTCCACTGAAAGTTCTCCTATTATTTCTAATTTCCTTTAAATTCACAGTGCAGCAATGTTTATCACCAAAGAACATCAAACCCAAAGTAACTTTTACAAGCAAAACATACCTGTGATGCCAACAATATCCATAAGATCAGTAACATTAGCACTGGAGGATGCCATCAGCAGACTACACTGGACAGTGCTTGCATGAGACCTATCGATAAATCAACCCCCAAACTAACAAAAGCAACAGCGAAGCAGAAAATTCCGGTTACCCCGAAACAAGGCGTAATGATCTCAGAGCGAGGAGTCTACAAATGTGGAGGAATTTTTACATGCCACCACCGCTGCGCTCGCTAGACGTCGGTAATGAAAATGGAACATTATTTTCATGTAATACGTGTGGTTTTATATTCCGATTCAATTTGAATTATTTAAGCTTATATATACACGTTCTGATGAAGTTTACTGTTGCCACTCATATAGTGACAAAACACACTGTTTTGTAACCGGCGAATTAGGACAAATAAGACAAATGCAATTAATCACAGTTAACCACACAAACTAATACAATTGTGACTCGTTCTTTTCGTCGTGATTCATTATTTAAATTGTTTGACAGCCTTACCCCATTGATTTATTTGAACAAAACATAGTACTTTTCTCTTTATGTCAAAGTTAGGCACTCCTGTGTTGCACCAATACATTAGCCACCTGCAGAAAAGACCCTAAACAACTGTTAGTACAACTGTTCCACATATTGCTGGTTCCTGTTTGTGACTGTTAATACCAGACACTCATTACTCATCTATATCCACTCCACAAGTCTTTGAGCTACAAACAAAAAGACTTGTTTAAGATAACTCACACAAAAAAAATACTGGTTCAAAAATATTACATTACCTTCACAGTTTTAACATTGCAATTAATAAAAGAAAAAAAAAAAAACCTCTTTCATTGCACTTGAACGTTAGCAGTGTTTCCATTTCAGTTAAAGGGATGCATTAAAGGTAACGGAAAAAAGCTTAAATAATAAAAAAGCAATACTGACACTGGTTCAACATGAACATAACATCTTACAAGCACAAATTACAAACTAGTGTAACTACCTAAGGTCAGCATCTTTCCAGAGCAGGATTACTATCTGATCTTGCTGTTGGGAACAGAGCTGCTTGGCCACGTAACCCACAAGACACTTGGCACCCCACCTAATCACTCACCCAAGGGATGCAATGCATTAAGCTATAACCAATAGGTCAAATGTTGCCATTCAAGAGCAATCACATTTTATTAGTTTACATTCTGCTAGGAGTGTCTCCTCAAGGGACATTAAACTAATGTCTAATTTACTCAATCCTAAAGTACTAATGGGAACACCTGGGCAGATGTTTACATGTAACTTTCATAATGGATAACAGTCGGTCCTAACAGTACAAATTAAGAAGCACATTCAGAAATTTACCTTTTGCGGGCAAATGAGAACCTAGAATCTGCAGTCACCGGCAACCAATGAGGAATGTTTTATCCTGTGTGCATGTTATATATACACAAGCAAACTATACCTTATATATTTCCCTGGATATACTATGAAGCGCTTTTCCTTGTATGTATTTTCAAACAGAAACTGTTAAAAGGTTATTTATATTTGGCAAGAGAACATCTTATTGAAAAAGTTAGAACTTCTTGCTGTCACAGTGTGCACACTGACATGTACAAATATATAATTTTCCACACACAGTCAAGGCAAGTGTTTCAGTGCCTTAGTGCCCAGCTGATTCCCACATACTTCAGGCAAGCTCTTTTGTGCCTCCTCATAGGACTTTTAGTCACTGTAAGGGTGGTAAGGAGCACTAAAAGATACACACCTTTTGGGCTGCAGCAAATAATTTGTCATTTGTAGAAAAACAAAAAGCAGTCAGCTATAACTGGAACTGAAGCATCAAAAAGACTGTGGGCTTGAAGTGTTTATGTAGTTCAGAGCTTCACTCGATAGCCATTTAAATACTGAAATATTATTTACTTCTACATTCCAAGTCCATTTCATTTGGAATTCATTTCTGTGAGCTGGATCACAATCATCTATGGGTGGGTTCCCCAGTCATGGCTCAATAATGCTAATGATTAGGTGTTACTGCTAAAAACATTTATGCTCAAATATCAATTTAGTACAATTTAATTTCATCTCCCAAATGCAGATAAAATTTGCTGAAATCTGCAAACGTTAAACATTTGAGTGAGCATAACGGCAAAACAAAATTTAAATGATCAGTAATCTCATCAGGATAAGGCCCCAACTCCTCACGAAAACTCCTCTCCTAAGGTCTAATAAGGTAAAAATGATAACATTCTATAGATTAATTAGGTCTACATAACGCAATTTAATGTTGGCAAATGTGTGAGTAATGTTGACAAGTGTTCTGTGAGAAGAGTTCCAGAAGTGCAAAGAAAGACACTGTAAGCGCAGGAGAGGGATGAAAGAAGCTGGGAAGACTGAATAGGGGCTCTTGTTGGAAATCTGGGCCCTACCTGAGACTGATGTCAGGTCCCTTTTAAGTACCCCTCCCCCCCAAATTCCAAACAAAATACCAACAACACAAGAGTTGGGACACTGGCCCCTATTACAAGTTATAAAAGGCAGCAGACACACCCCTGTCCTCCAGACAGAAGGGGAGAAGAATCATGTGCAACCCTGAAAAACAAGAGGTGTATGTTTTGTAAGCATGGGGTGTGTGCATGAGTGTGCGTGCACATCTACCAAGTATCCTCTAACATCACATTCATCTCACAGTGATGGATTCTGAAATGGGGTCTATTTGTTGTTTGAGACTACTACAGCATCTTCACGTTTGTTCATTACTAAGATTCAGAACTGAGCAGGAGATAAATTACAATTTTTATGTTTAAGCAAAACTTGTTAGTAGGTTAATAAATATGAAGGTTGCTAAACAGTAAGTTTGCCATGAACCAAACATTACAGTAACTTTATAATCATCATATCAACCATTGCCAAATAATGGTTACATCAGATCTCTTACTGCAGCCCAAGTCTTTGACACTGAGAAATAGGTTAAAGTTGTTTTAACCTGAATGCAGAATAACACTGTGAAAGTATGGGCGCTACTAAAATATCAATTTCGTTTTATGGAAATACTCTCCAGATTATTAACAGAAAACAGACGCTAAATTGGCTCTCAGGTTCGCCTCTCAAAGGCGAGTGATGACTGTGCGCTGCCCAAACATTTGGTGATCACGTTTGATGACAACGTCAGTTACTTTACAGACCGTCGCCCCAGCATGAAGAAACCGTGCTGGCCTCCACTTTCTGGTTAAGGCGTGTTGGTCTCATGGCTAATTAGATCCTGCAAAGATGACCAAATCCGTTTTCTAGCCAGAGCCGTTCTGTTGACACTATACTAAAGAGACTGTTGCAACATGGAGCACCTTTTCATCCACAACAGAGGGGGTCATGTGTAAAACCCGTGCAAACGTCAAAGCTAACACATTACAGTACAAACCAGTTCATCTCTTTAGATTATGACAGGGTCACAACTGTTACAGCAGAAAAAGAGACGAATACAGCGAGCCAGCTAACGACAGATAAGCCCAGCTAGTCAACGTTACGAGCTAATATTTAGAGTTACGTAGCTAGCGAGAAGCAGTTAGCCGTAAAGCTAACGACGTTTATACTAACTAGAGGCATCAATATGTTGCAGGGTGTCATTCCAGAAAGCTCCTCAGCGATGAGAAACGCGTGCTGGCTTCCAAACGACACGAACGAAACTTACAGACAGCTGACAAAGTTGTGGATGCCAGACTAAACGGCACCAAAAACTGAAGTAGCAGGCGATGGCGTTGTCCGCTGCTGTGTTTAGGCCCAAATCGCAGCCTTCGTCACAGGACCATGCTAGCTGGCTAACTCGCCGCAACCCGAGCTATTTGGAAACGCAAGTGGCAACGTGGGTTGCGAGAATCGCGCTGAAATGTTTAGATACTGTGACGATTAAACGTGTCTGTGGGGCAAAAATGCATTTTGTAAAGGAAGGCAACGACCTTTACTTTTAGGGGGTTTAAATAAAACTCGGACGACGGAAGGGTTTGGTGGCTTAAGAGCCCAGTCTCTGCCCTCACCCTGGTTTAGTTAGCGAGCTAGAGTTAGCCGAGCTAGCGGCGGACTCGGCTAGCTGAACTAGCTTACCTCGGAGACCTCATCCTCGTCGCTGCCGGATCCGGGGCCCGAGGAGAGGACCGCGGCTGCTGTGAGTTTGAAGTCAAGTCTATCTGCAGCGGGCCCGCCAGCCTCGCCAAATAGCCGGACCTTTTTGCCACCGACGCCTAAGCCGAGGCCTCCGAGTCCGGCTCCTGGTGTGGCTCCAACCCCCATCCCCAGCGCAGGGGAGCGCGGAGTCACCGAGTCAATCTCGTCCTCGAAGCCGTCCGTCCGCATTGCCGTCCCGGCTACAGCATCCTGCATACTTTCCTAAATAAGATGTTTATTCGTGAAGGTAACGTTGTCCCTTCGCCTTCTTTGGGGTTGTATTGTTACAAAATTATCACGTTTTACTTCAGAAAAATCCTCAAACTCTCCTGAAGCGAGAAGAGATTCTCTTTCCCCCAAGCCATTAACTTTCTAACAACCTACCCCGCTTTGTTCTATTTCTGTATAGGCCCGCCTCTTTTCAAAATACTCAAAGGCGATTGGGCGCTGGCGTGAGACGCACGAGTCCGATTGGTCGAGGTGCACGCTACTCGAGCGAAAGCATGCGGCGTTAAGGTTGGTTTACGGGAGGGCTTTAAGATTTAACGCCAGGAAACATTGTACGGTAAAGACGATTGGACACCGACACGCCTGTCAGCAGCTCCCGCCCTTTGGATACGCCTATTTTTGTCTTTATAAGAAAAGTAGAGGTTAATTTGCTTCAGGGTAACAAGTCTTATGACGGGACAAAGTTATGTTTTCACTGAGTTATAAGTAATGCTTGGTATAGTTCAGAGTTTGTCACTTCTAACACCTGTCAGTGAATGAGATGTGTATGTTAGTTTCATCGTGTTGCAACAACTTGCACAGTATAGGAACTGCAAGAGAAATAGTCTACTGCATCATTAAACTCAGCAGAGATCAGCAAAACTCTCACAACTCTAAAACTCTCCATTTTATTCAGCTGTATTGTTTCAGCTGTGTGGGCGAAGGGTCTTGACAGTGTAGTACATGGGGGATAATGTGTTTGGAAGGGATTTGGATTTACCTTATCCATACCTAACATGCACTGATCTCTTTAGTCTCTCGCTTCATTTGCATTAAACTGTTTGCACTTGTTACCACCCTGCCCTTTCCAGAGAAACCTCCATTCAAGCCTACTTCGATTCGCACTGAACTCAGGACTTGGAGGGCAATGTAAACAGACTTTTATTGTCATCATATACATTCATATGACATACATGTCATCATAGACATTTCAGATAGCAACGGATTTAGTGCATGTTTCGGATCAGCAGGCAACCAGATATATAGGATGTAACTCTTTTCAGCATTAATGTCGTGTGCCTGAAGTGATTAACTCAATCATTTGTGCAGTACCGGTATCTAGAAAAGTGTGTGTGTGTATATATATATATATATATATATATGTACACGTGTATATATATATATATATATATATATATATATGAAAGTTTCAGAAAGTTCTGCTGACTCCACAGACTCTGTTGTCCACTACTACAATATTGTCCACTACTACACTAAAATTTTAATGAACTGTTTTTGTGATGTCACAAAACCAATATTTACATATATCTGCCTATTCAGCCTATAGTGGTTTAGCTCCACCCATGCAGGCTAAAGTTGAGTGTTTCAGCTTAGACTGCTCTTTGAATAAAACACAATATAGTGCAGCCAGTTAGAACAGAGCTTATTTACATGTATCCGTCCTAAAGCTACTTCAAACCAGATATGTCAGGCAGACAGTACATATGATCATATGTGAAAAACAGAGCACACACTGGCACTGACATCCAGCCTTTATGCACACCGCCAGTTGACAACTTCCAGCACTGCTGAATGTCTCTGAGCGTCACACAGCACCTGGTGTTTAGTGCACAATACAAAACTCATAAAGAGACCACAAAATAAATAATAGATATAAATTAAAATACAAGACAAAATGCAGGATATGCACCCTTGGATAAACTGCTACGTGTTTGCTTTAAAAATTAGACACCCAGTCATTTGTTACAGAATCAATGTAATTTAGGTGCATGAATATTTGACACATCAAAAGAATTAACAAAAAATGTACATTATGTGCCCTGATCTTGTGTGTTGAATAGTCCCTGAGTTTTTTTTTTAAATTAGACAGCTCAAAATCATTCAAATATATGTTTTGTCATTATAGCACAGGCTTGTAAAGGAGATACCTTAAATAGATTAAATAAACAGCTAGAACAGCTATTACACCTGGCAATGTAGACCAACCACTCAGAGACAGCATTGCTTTTACCATATGGTTAGAATGCTCCAACTGCACTGATGAGCTCCAACCATGGCAGCTACTACAAGTAGCATTAGTCTGTTGATATCCGTCACAAAGTTGGGATCAATTTATGAATGTAGACACCAGTTCTAATCCAAACGAAAGAACTGAAAATACTCAGGCATGCACAATTGGAACTGAGCTCCATGAAATTCCAGTGCAGTTCAGTTGTGCATGTCCATCTGCATGTTAAATGGATAAGCAAAAAGCAAAAAATAATAAAAAGGAAAAATGACATACAATTAACTACATTTAAGATGTTTTCACTTGCTAAGACATCATTTTTGCAGTGCAGTTGATATTTTTGAGGTCCTGATAGTGCCACTGTAACTTATCTCACCTCACCATGAATGTGAACCTAGAACTGGAGTACTCATGGAAAGCCCATAAACAGCAATAATTGCAAGAGTGCAATTACATCTTTGAGCCGTAAAGGAATCTCATCATTAACAATAGCTGTAGTGCGGCAGGGTCTAAAGAAACAAAATATGAAAGAATTTTCAGCTATTGTAACGTATAGGTTCCCTACAAATCATGAAAGATGCCAAGAGACAGTGACAATACAGGGTGATTCAAAAAGATTAATCCGATTTTAAAGTGCCATATTTTAAGAACCGTGAGGTGCCTAGGAACCAATCACATACCACTTGAAAGAGGGGGTCATAGAGTTTCTAACTGTCACTGGAACATGGCTCCTTTCAGTCTGCGAGGAAATGTGACCCCTGAGCAGAAAGCGTTTTGCGCTCTCCACTTCAACAAGAGTGAATCTGTCATAACTGTGCACTGAGCATTTTTGTCGGCAGTGAACCTCCAACAGCTCAGAGCATTCGTTGTTGGTTCCACAACGCTGGATGATCTCCGAAATCGCATTGAAAGAGCCATGAGTACAGTGACACCAGACATGTTCAATTGGGTATGGGATTGAGCTGGAGAAGGTTCATATTGTGCACTTGTAAAATTACATAGTAAACTTTATGCTTATTTACAATTTATAATTTACTGCATTGTTCTGTAATGATTTATAAGTGAAATAAATAATTTTGAAATCAGATGAATCTTTTTGAATCACTCTGTATATTAGTTTGAGCCTTTCAGCTGGCTGAATACACAGTTGTAGCATGATTAAAAGTGTTAAGGACATGTTTGACAATAATACATCATCACATGCGAAAGTTTGGGTGCCCTGGTCAAATTATATGTTGTGTTAATTTTCTAAGTGAAATTAAGTACATATCCTCTATACTGAACACACATATGCACATTTTAATACACAATCACTGTTTATTTTCTCAATGATCACGCTAGAGTTCTGGCACATTTTATATTTTATCTTTTGTTTTTCCAACATAGCAAATAAATAGTAATTGTGCACTATAATTTGCAGAAAAAAAGACATATTTCATTTCCTTGTAGTTAATTTACTTTCACTTAAAAATCAACAGTGTGTTATTTGACCTGTATACAACTGTATAAATCACCTGATAAAAACAATTCTAAATCCCTCAGCTTTAGGTAAAGCTGACATGATCTCGGAGATATGATATTCACTGGACGTTATGATTTCATTTCTATATTTTATTGGACTTCAATAGAGAAATGTGGGTTTTATCATTTTACTGTTATGCTATACATCAACAGGGATTCAACATAGAGTCAAATGCTAGCAATCTACAACTTAGACCTGTTAAAAAACATGAAGAATCTTTATTCGTTCAAAGCATCGCTACAACTACGTTAAGAAAACGTAAGTTTATAAAGTAATTAATTGGGAACGTAGGAGTAATACCACCTTTTCCTTTTCATAAACAACCGATAAAGGACACCATTTCTCAGTTCGATTCAGAACTGACCCCAACTGTGATCTGTCAGTATTAGGATTTGCTACAGAAGTAAGTCTGCTGTGTGACATGCCACCCAAAAAGGTGTTTCAAGCTATTTATATCTTAGCAGTTATTGAATAAGCAATAAAAAGAGTAAAACAATAAAATAACAGTATTTTTGTTTAAAAAACAAGCCATTGTTATTTTGTGATATGGCTAGAAAACACAGGTTTGGTCCTCAAATTTCCCCTCTATTTCTTAAATTACACCACCAGCATACTTGATTCAAGTTAATAACATGTTAATTAGCCAGTAAAGTTTTAACGATTTAACCAGTACATGGGTGGAAACTACCAATACTGGGGTGCCTTGAAAAGATGTTTGGAAATGCCAAGTTAACACTTTGACAGACAGAAAAATCTGTTTTGTAGCATCAAAACTATAGTGACTGTGCAATAGCCAACCAAACTGGAGTTTCACAGTGTGGCATTCAAGTTGTCGGTGGGCAAGTTCAAGACAGAAAACACAAATAAGACCCAAGAAGCTGTCTAAATCTGATGAACAGTACTTAAAGGTCACTTCCTAGAGGGACAGAAGGAAATCCGGAGAAGTGCTTTCTCAGCAAAGGGCAGTCATTTGGCACCAAAGGACACACTTTGACAGTGAAAAGTCATCTTAAAAGAAACAATCTCTTGCAGGGCACGCTGCAGCTAAGAAGCCGTTCTTGGTAAAAAAATAAGCAGATCGCCACAAGATCGCCACTCTTTAAAGACCATGGAGACACAACTGTTAGAAAATCCAGGCTGTAAACTTCTGATCCTCAAAGACGCCCGTAATGTGAGACGAACTGTTAAGATGTATGCTGTCTATAACATTCTCTCATGGACCGGGGGTTTCATCAAGCTATACATTGAAGAAAGTAAGTACAAGTTGGCAAAAACTTCTATTGGCATAATAGTCCTCAACACAATTAAAACACAGTATTAAATTGGCCCCTTACAGCCCTTACCTTAACATAATAGATCATATGGACAAAAAATAAAGTGTTAAATCCTGAAGCTTGGAAGAATTTGCCCAGGACTACATGGAAATCAAAGTAGTGAAGAGACAGCACAACGGACACTTGAGGGCTTAACCTGTGCTTTACATTGTAGGATGAGTTCTTCAAGATTTGGGACCTGTACATTACACGTAGGACCAGGTGCATCTGCAGAGCGTATGCCAGTGGTAACTGTTCGGTTAATATATAGTACCTTGCAAGTTTTAGGCACCTGAGAAAACTATGTTTATAAGCTTTAATTGGTCAGTAAGTATGTAAGTATGTTTATTCGCTCAGAAAAAAAACATTATTAGAATAAATAACATTTATATTAATACAATAAACAGTAATTTTATGTACATTGTGTTCCTTTAACCAACCCTCTCCTTGTGGCAGCCTGGTATTATTTGTATTTATCATCCAATACCTGCTGTGGCTAATCACTGCTTCGTTAAATTAAATTAGGAAGGCTGTGGATGGATTTAAACAAATCTATGCGATGACTGGAGGTGACAAGGTGAAGTCCAGAACTCCACCCTAAACTACTTTTCTGAAATCACTAAATTCTTGTTACCTTTTGCTGTATTTATATCAACTTATATTGAGTCTATTATATAGTGCTTTAAATCAGGCAAATCGTTACTACTGCACAGAACTGTACACATTTTGATAGGTGATATATTGTCAGTATCAGAACAAAACATTGTATATCCAAAAATGTAACTTTACAAGAGGAAAAGAAGAGGAAAAAAAACATCCAAGTAACTTTGGACGATTTATATTGGTTCATTCATCATAAAATTGACACAAACATCAACTGGCTTTTCCAAATGTCAAAAAATGAAAAATACGAGGTTTTATACCTCATTTATCCCCCAGTGACAATATGTATATCATTCAGGCTTACCTATATCAAAATGTTTTCTCCCCATGTGAAAACGATATACCTAGATGGTTTCTTTTGTATTTTGTTTTATAGTTATTTATGGACTTGGAACTTTGTTCATATGGATATTAATATGTTTGTGCAGACTGTGTGGTTTGTTGGCTGTTTATAAGCTTATCTGTAAGGCCTTTGTAAGGAGGAAAAAAAAACTCTTAAAATAAAGAGAAAACAAAGCTTTTTAAAATAACATAAGAACTCACAAACACTGTAAAACACCATTTAATGCAATTTACATAAATACATATTTACAAATAAAAGCAACAGCACCAAAATCACATGGGACACTCGCTTGCTATCGGCTTAAGCAAACAATTTATCACAAGAATTACAATCAGAAAGTTCAGCAACAAAACTGCTGTATTGATGATCAAGTATTAAAAAGGTCAGGTTAAAAGCTCTGGTTGTTTTATGCCTAATGGAATTTTGGCAGTTGACACTGTATATGCCTTTAAATTTATAACACCTCATATGCAATACTTAAACAATACAATGTACCCCTCCAGAGTTGAATGAGGTATATTTAAGTTAAATAAAATGTATTAAAAAGGGTGACCTATTAGCAAAACAAGGTGTCCAGTGAAGTGAGAGCTTGACTGTAGCAGGTCACAATGTACTCAGGAACTCCTTCACCTGTAATTAAACAGAATAGAGCAAACAGACTTACTGCAAGGTTCTCCCTTACATGTTATCAAAAGTTTTTAAATAGCCTTTTCTAATGGGTAGGTGCCAGACTAAACACCTACTGGACTGTAGGGGGGAGGGGGGAAGAGAACACAGATGTGTGAAAACATTATATTTTTGTTGTATCATCCAACCTTGTCTAAACACTTGAGCTTCCTGTCAACTTTAGACTCTCACTTACAAAGTAAATGGTAAGAGTATATTTACCACTATCACACAGCAGCTTACAATACTTGGTATGCAAGTTTTTTTTATTTATTTATTTATTTTTTTATTCAAACTGTTCTGCATATATATTTACCTTGTCCATCACTCCCTGCTGTTTAATTCTGTCATTTTTGAAGTCGTCATTAACCTCCAGAACCAGAATGGGGAGATCCTTCAAGTACTCAAAATCAAGCCTGAGGATAACAGCAATTAGTCTCTTAATACAAATTGTAATAAAATGGAACAATAAAAACTGGAAGAGGAAATTAGTTCTGTTTGTTTAATAGCACCAAATCTTAAATGAGAATGCACTTTTAATTACATATTAGGAAGAGGACTCACTGTGTAGTTCTGTTATAGAGCCAGCATTCATGCTTATAATGAAGTTGCTCCAAGTATTCCAGAGGAATGCCCAGTTCTTCCTCTCGTCCTCGCAATTTAAGACGCTGCATACATCTCTGCAAAAACACAACGATTACTAGACTGTAATGTACTGTAGTCCTTGAATTGTATGTTCGGTGTTTGAGAAGATGACAAATATTTCCTGAATGCAAAGCAAAAAGCAGCCTTAACAAAAATATTTCCTTGCAGAATTTTCACCCTCCTCCCCAAAGTGCTTCCTATATATATGCTATACCTCAGGATCTGCTCGCAGGTAGATCATTGCATCAAGCTCAATCTCAGACTCAAACTGAGAGAGGAGCCAGCCATGCCAGTCCTGGTAGATGGCCCACTCAGTCTCATTCAAATTTCCAGACTCAAAGAGATTTGAAGCAAAGATATATCTGCAAAATAACACAGACCACTTCAGTGTAAAGGTCACATGTAACAGGCGTAATGAACGTTTAATACCCACTATGCATGTAATAAGTATGCAAGTTCCAATCTCTTCATAAGCTTATGATTTTTTATGTCCATTAAGGATTGTACATGTATTCAAATTCTTTGAATTACTTGTCAGATACCTGTCACTGTAGACAGAGCGCTCAAAGAACTGGATTGGTTTCTCTGCCAGTTGCAGCTTGGCAGATGGGGGCTGAAGCTGGGCACGAACACGACTCAGACAAGCATAGCTCTGGAAGGTGTAGGACCAGCGGCTGGGCTTGTCATACAACATCTGCAGCAGGTTGCCTCCACTCTTCTGGGATGTGCTGAGCTCCTAAAGAGATCAAGATAGAGTTTAGGCAGGGATCAAACAGTTTTGAGATAAGGTTTTGGTCTAATCCTAAAACCCATTCATGCTGAAGAGGTACATGCAGGTAAGGTGTGAGGAAAATTAAATGAAAGAAATTCCCCTAGATTTACCACTATTTTGCCATGATCAACATTACACTGGTCATTTTGGACAGTAAATAAAGCAGCTACATTTGTGTTATAGACATCACAACCCCTGGTTTCCAAACTTTGCAAAGAAATCCAAGTGTTTACCATTTCACATAAAACCACTCTGAATTACCTTTTAACATCTCAATGACTGAATTGTGCACAAATTTTTGAAACGTTTCTGGACAGAAATCAGGGTGTGATTTGAAACAAACAACCTTATAACCGTATTGGTTTCTTTTATAGTATACCATATGGATGTGAAATTATGCTATGTACCAGTCATCTACTGAAATTGCTCTCCAGCCCTTAAAGAAGCAAATAAATAAACGAACAAGCACATAAAACAAATAAACAAACATGTGCTTTTATCACACTTTCTAAATAGAAGCTACAGTTAAAACATCCATGAAGTCTTTTATGTCCAGTCTGATCTCATTCTGTGCAGCAAAATGAACCACTGCATATCCAACAAGATCACAGGGGCTGGAAAAGGATCAGTTTCCGTACCTCATATTCATTCTCTGTAGTCTGAACATTGCACCACTTCCCAATGGGTTCCGGTATGACTTCGAATTCATCTGACTCTCTTTCCAGCAGCCGCACAAAAGTCGATTTCCCAGCAGCTATTCAGCAAACAGACATTAAATCACTTCTATGAAAAATAAACTTGTGTAGTCATAGCAGTCTGTTAATGAAACCGATGGCATTAAGAGAAATCTTAAAATGCCTCATATCTCTTACGGACCTAACGAACAAGCTCACTCAGTATACCAGGTTTCTCTGACATTCTCACCTCGCTAATGTATTTGGGGAATATTTAAAATAATCATTTCTACCCCGGTTTAATTTTAACAGTTTCCAAATGTGGCTTAAGCAGCTAGTCAGCCATGCTAGGTCATACAGATTACAAAACGACCCAAGAAAATATTAGGAGCTTAAACGTGGAAATTATTTCTGAAATAGGATTTACACTACTTTACAGTTAGACTTTCACTTTAAAAACAACAGTTAATTACATATGTATTCATAACTGAGATAGCTAGAGCTGAAGTGAACAGGCTGCTAACGTTAGCTGGTTAACCCGCCTATTTTTGAGCTGAACCCGACTCAACACACACAAAGGTATTTGGCGCCAAACAACCTGCGATGTTTTAACACATAGTTACATAAAAGAAAACAAATCTAGTAAAGTAACCTCACAAAAAAATCCTAACCGATATAAGCAATCAAATAAGCACAGTCTTCTGCACTGTTTCTACACAATGTACATTACAGAATAACCCAGCTAGGGTTTAAAACTACCGCCAATGAACTCACCAATGTTTCCCTCGATTGAGATCTTCTTGACTCTCTTCTCGAAGCTGTTGTTGAAAACAGGGCTGGAGCACATTCTCTTAGGAGGGGTAGCCATGGCAAGAGCAGATATTACCAACACAGCGGCTAGAAAAATTAATCAAGACTCTGTCTGGTGTTTTTCTCACAAACCTACAACTCTGCTCAGCTCCGCGCGCTGCTCAGTACAGACTGAACCCGCTCTTCAATCTTCCCGGCACTCGATGACGTCAGAGGGCGTCACACACTGGAACAGGAAGTAGTTACAGTGAAAGAGTCTTTCACTTTATTTTTTCACGGTAAGAAAGGAAAATTAATTTCAACATTTTCTTCCTTTTTCTTCCTATTTTCAGTTTTTTTTAATAAAATATTTAAAAATTCATTGTATCTGAAAAGCTGGACTTATGACAGTTTTATCAAGATGATTTTTCCTAAAAGCAAATTCACCATAAAACACAATGGTGCCTAACACATTTTGCACATTACATCATGTACATTTGACTTTGTCATTAAGAACATTTTGTATATGTTTTACGTTCTGTGTAGAAGAAAATGCATGATAATTTGGGCATACAGGCAAAGGCTGTGTATTTTGAACAGGCACTTCAACAGAGGAAGAAATGCCCAGCCCAGCACTAACTCAACACGTAACACAGGGAGTGGGTAACACAGGAGGACCCAACATTCATGGAGGCTTGCCACTTCTAAGCCTTTGTTACACTTCAGAAACAACCCTCCTTGGACACAATTACTCTAATATATTACACACTAACAACAGCAACAGCTTAAACAATAATAAAAGTCTTGGGAGAGCGGCATCACGCGAGTGCCACTTTGCATGGCCACAGCCCACTAAGCTCCTCACCGCAGTGCAGCACATGGAGGACGCAATACAAGCCCTCCTCCAGGGTCGGCCATCCTGGGAGCCCACACAGCCCATACAAAGTCTCAGGGTGTGAGATTCATCTATCCACTGTCCTGGCCAGTCCACTGTCCCAGCCAGCACAAGTGCCATGGGGTGCCCACTCCACCTGTGAAAAGCCTAGGTGCCCTTGACCTGACAGTGAGCCCCGCACCTGGAGATCCACCAACTTGGGCCCTTGGCTCAGGCCCCCAAACACAAATGGGAGCCTCCTCCTTCCTTTCACATCGACTTGGCTGACAGTGATATGAGTTGAATGGTTGTCGCTTCCCAGTTGGTAGGTGTGCCACTCTTGGTGGAAGACTTTTGCCAGTTTCTCCAGCCTGGGGCAGGTGTAATGCTGAGCACACCCTTCCTTTGGGCAATGTCTTCTTCTCCATCTGTTTTCAAGTTTGTTGAACCACCACTCTGTCACCACCTACTTTTGACACCATAGCATTGGCATTATAGAAAGGCGTTGCACATACAAGCAAATACCATTTACTTTGTAGTGGTATTTCAAAAGGCAAAGCCCAGCACTACACCAACATGAAACACGGGAAGAGGGTTACATGGGAGCACACAACATTCAAGAGGGTAGACACTCATAACCACTAGTTAGACTGAAAAGCCCACCCTCCCTGGACACAATTACTTTAATAAATGCAACTACACACTAACAACAGCATAAACAACAACAAATGTCTGTTTTTACACCAGGAGTGTGGGTCCTCCCGAGAGCGATTTTGCATGACCACACCTCCTTAGCTCCTCCCGACAGCGTGGCCCGTGGTGGATGCTGCAATATTATGAGCTGAAGTGACGCTTGTTCAAATCACAATTCACAGATACAATATATTTGGCTTATATTTAACTTCATACTTACAAGGGCCTCTATAATCGATATCAGAGTTATTACACGAGTATAACTTGCCTAAGAGTATACAATATAAATAACAAAACATTGAAACTTGCCATACATTTCTAACTTGCTACCTCCATAACTGAATGGTTCTGGTCAATATGAATGTAGATATGCTGTCAACATTATAATTAGGAACATGTGTTCCTCTACTACAGCTATTAGTGAGTATGTGAGAGTCAAAGAGCTTAGTCTTTTAGCCTCCAAGAACCCAGTATCTTTGACAAGGTCATGTGAATGGTGTGCCTCAGTTCAGATTCTAGAAGCAAGGCCCTTCTCCTGTGGTTCAGTAAAGCACATTCATCTGAAACTTCCTTTTTGCTTTAAATGTGAACAGTCAAGCTAGGTGTGGCTCTGGGGGTACAGGATGTTGTCATATTGCCATGTAATTTTCAAGTATATTCTAGACCGAAGTGTTCATGAGCCAAAAGTAATCCATGAACCACAGGTTTATTTTTGCAAAATCAAAAAAATCCTGACACTTTCAGCACTGAGGTAACAAAAGACCCAGTGAAGCCAGGTTTCCTGGATTAGGATTCTTTCTGACTTCCTCATGTCATGGCCTTGTATGACCATCCTAGATCGTATTAATTTTTAGTCTGGCATATCCAACATGGTCACCAACCTATGATGAACTGTAGAGGCAGATTAAGGAGACGATAAAGAGGGGGACAGGTTCACTTGACAGTGAGAAGTGAAATGTTAGGTAGAGAAAGAAAACTATGATGCAATTTCTTGAATTTTGCTCAGTGTCCACTGTCAGCCACCACATGCCAGTTTGAAACAAATTGTCTGAAATGAAGAGACCTCAGGAGTTACACACAAGTGTACACAACTGTAACCCCCAGAACTTCGTGGGCCATGGCAATTATTTGTTGAAGCCATGGTGAAAGATGGCTATGAATTATCAAGCAACCTTGTCTCTGTTTGTTACCATCATGAGACACTATCCAGTTCTGGATGCCAGACTGTCAGTATAGTTGCTGTTTTAACAATATATTTGCCAGTTCATCAGGATATGTACCACCTTCTTGGTTGTCAGTATGGCAAAAAATGATGTCTTTTTTCAAACTATGATTTATTCACTGTGGCATTCTCTAATCCAGTCAACAAGGCTGTCCCCAGTTTAATGTGACAAAGTTTGAATGGGAGGATGACCAGAAGGAATTTGCTCAAGTCTGGGCCTTGGCAAGCAACCCATTCAGGTACTTAAAGAGTTTGTTTGTTCGTAATGTAATTTGTGATTTTAACCAAATATGTTTGCCCTCAATATGAAAAATATCTCTGGAATTTACTTGGGCGTTAGCGCGTAGAAAACACTGAAATATGAAGCAGCTCTTCTGTGTGACCAGCAGAAGGCAGCAGTGCTGAGCTAGAAAGGGTGAATGCTAACTTGAGGTGGAAATAATTGTTATTTAGACATATAACTAATGCCTTACTAGGCGCTACTGACAAACTAAACAGAAATTGGGATCATCCAGCATTTCAACAAATAACCAAAGTCCTTTGGTTTGGCTTTTATAAGCTAACGTTAACTCTAACTTGCTAACCTTTGTAGCCTAGCTAGATACATAGGCAGCAGTGACAAAAGCGCGCTCCTTGGGCCGAGTTCGTTTTTAGCAGAAACTATTTCAAAATGTAACATCGCAGTCAACTACGCCAAAAAAACAAAATACCTCTCACAGAGTGCTACATGAGTACATTGAGAAAGAGCATGTCGTCACGACGAGGTGGCCGAGTGGTTAAGGCGATGGACTGCTAATCCATTGTGCTCTGCACGCGTGGGTTCGAATCCCATCCTCGTCGGAAAGCCGTGTTTTTCTAATCCAGACAACAATTACGACGTACGTTGTGCACGTAATTTTTACACACACTGTATGTTCAAAAGTATCCAGACGCCACTTCTGTATGATTGAATTAAGCTTCTTTAAGGTGCACACACTGTACACACGTGTTTAATTGTGCACACACAGCTTGTTTAATCTTATGGAAAAAGATTAGAAAATCATTGTCGAATGGGACACTCTGGAGCCACACGTGAGCCTAAGGACTCCATGCCCAATGTCAACCATTAGTTACAGCATTGGGCTGTGAGACAGTAATACTGTGAGTGATGGAGCACCATTTGATACCTTAGGGATGAGTTGGAGTGGCATTTGTGATCCAGAACTAATCTTCCAACATCATATACCTGACCTCACTAATGCTCTTGTGGCTGAATGCAATGAAATTCTCACAGCAATGTTCCAACATCTAGTGTAAAGCCTTCTCAGGAGAGTAGAGGCTGTTACTGCAGCGAAGGGAGTACAAACTCCCTACTAATCCTCTTGATTTGGATTTTTGGTTTTGGTTTACTACTCCCATGTAATTTGGATGGTAAATCTGTTCAGATCTGCACACCTAAATATTGCTCACACATTATTGTCTCTGTCCTGCATATTTATTGTAGGGCTTTAAGCTTTTACTTGCACTACATGCATTTATTGTACTGTATTTCATTTGTACTGCATGGCATTGCAAACACAGGTCATGTCTTGTCTCAAGGAATTATTATTTCACGCCTCAATATACTTGTTTATGGATGAGATGACAATGTTTTTCTTGACTCTTGAAAAGCAGTTGAATCTAGTGAATAAACTGTTTAATCAGTTAATAAAAATACATGAAAATGTACATACAAATGAAACAACATGCTACCATGGCAATCTACACATTTTAGAAATGATTTTACTATGACACCAATACCCCTGCCCCACCCTTGGTGCCTCCTCCTTCACTCTCTCGCTTTGCTACGGCTGCTTTCCCCGCTGCCTCATCCTCTCCCACTATCCTAATGTTGTATCGTTCTCGATATTCATTCAGCTCTTTCCCCTTTGTCTGCATCTGTGTCCCAAGTGAGTCCACAATCTTGGAGATCTGAAGAACAGAGAGAAACACTCCAAATGAAGTAGGCACAAAGTTCACACAAGACAAGGCTCTGGCAATGTCCCATAATTTCATATGCATTCTTTAAGCATTTATAACTAAATACTGGATACAGGAGTTTACATTCTTAGAGGGTCAAAATCAGATGGATTGATGGCACTTTAGTCTTGCAGAGGACAAATACCAAATAGTAAAATAGTAGCCCTTTCCACACACATATTATATATATATATATATATATATATATATATATATATATATATATATATATATATTTAAAACTTGAAAATCAGTATAACTTTAGTGTAAATATGCCGATATGCTGAACGTTTTGTGCTTTCATGACATGAGTGTCTTTGTGGTACAATAAATGATTTAATGTTATATTTTGATAATAAATACAAAATGCACCCTTTAAACACAAGGTGTCACTCTTCTGCGTTGGTATTTCAAGAGTGCATTTCCACATGTACATTTTACAGTGTTTAAAAGTGAAACAGTGTTGCCCCAGTAAATACTCTACACAATTTATATATATTATTCTGTAATGCATCTGACCTGTTCTTTGTTATTCTCCAGGGCTGGGAGGACTTCACTGACCGTGCGCTCTACCAGTACACCTCCAATCAACCGGTAACACTTTCGTGATGGGTCAACTTCTTTTAGTGCATCAATTACGAGACTGAAGGAAAGAATTAGGGCAGCACAATTAAAACAGGGAAAGCTGTCAAATTTATCTCTGCAAATGCTGAAACAATCTAACCTTACTTAGCGCAATGGAAGTATAATAGCACAAATTACAGCATACATATAAGCTCAGTTTTCTCCAGTCTGCCTTGCTGAATCCCTGATGGCAAAACTACATAAACATGTTAACTTTAACTACACACACCTGAGACTGTACACAATTGTACTGGATTTAAACATGATGTAACTCTCCATTTAACACTCAACAGCCCTCTACTGTCACACTGATGACACCACCTGTGTTCACTGATCTCCATCTCCAGCTCCGCTGCTTTCGTGGCCATACTGCGCTGCTCCTGACGCAGCCGCTGGAAACCTGCAACAACCTGCCAGAAGTTAAGTGACGCAAATGTGTGATATTAGTTATTCCACAAATAATATAGACGGGATTTACTAAAGCACACGTTTGGTTGAGGCCCTTGGGATTAAATTAAGCCCCAGAAACTCAGCAGAAAACCAACAGCGGTGAGATCACTTTAACTTTCAATAAATGTACCACAGGAAAAGATTAAGGTACAGAAGCAGCTTCAAAACTTGTAATAATTAATAACACTCATTACTCATAATTTATATAATTTGTACGTTACTTTGTGTGTTGTGTAAATCTATATTTTTCTAGATTACATTTACATTTATGTTGAAACTGTGCCAAGGGAAATTCTGATTCAGTATTTAAACTATACAGCCCCGACTACAGGGTTGCTTTGGCTAACAACAACTGCAACAACAATAATAATAATAATAATAATAATAATACAAAGATTAAGATTAAATTCCAGAACACACCAGGTAGTAAAACGCCTTGCTCTGTTTTCCTTATCTAACGTGATCTCTGTCCTTCAGACAGTAGACTGTCGGTTGAACTGGAATAGCTAACGTTAGCTTCAAACACAGAGGCTAACGGAAGGAGGCGCAGTGTTTCATACTGTAAATGACAACAGAACAAGAGTGTAACACACAGGGGTTTTAACACAGTCAGCTATCATGGAGTCTGTACCTGCTCTGCTGAGAGACCAGGCTGTTTTCCTCCGGAGCTGCTCGGTTTACTGTTAGCATCTTTCCTCCCATCACTGTTGTTGGCGTCTGCCATTTTCAGACACGTGACAATTTCTTCCTCTTCTTCACCAATCCGCCCGCTTACCGACTTCAATTCTACATTAAAGGTCCTGCACCACTGCGTTCTACCTTTAGTAATAAGTTGATTATTTTGAATATAGTCTACAACAAAATAATAACCTCTGACAATTTTCACAAATAATTTCACGAATTACGGTTTTAATCTAATGATCTCATTTTTTTCATATATTTTAATCACCTAAGTGTTTTTGATACAACGTCATTTCTTTGATGCTGAATAATTGCACGTAGCTTATGTTAGGCAGAGGCCAGACCTTTGGCTGAATCTCAAATGGCTCCCTCCTGTGTAGTGCACTACGTAGACCATGAAATAATGGCTTCTGCACCCAAATTAGTATATGCTTTCTATGTCTAATAGAAAACCATTTATATCCAGCCATAAGCTCCAACATTTAGTGAACGATTTGAGTGTAGAAGGCATAGTTTCATGGCCTATGCAGTGCACTATATAGGGAGCTCGGAGCGATTTGAGATTCAGCCTTTCACTTTCAGAAACCTGTAACAATATTACTTAAAATTCAAAATATAAGCCGCATGTGTCTTATTGTTAATAACGTTGCTTTGTAATACCCTTCATAGTGCCTGTCTTATTTAAAATATCACATTTTCCCTGATGGGGGCGCTGTAACATAATGTGTGCTGAATGATAAGTGCACGAACACTGCTTGGCTTCTAACCGAGCTGTACCTCATTCTATTTTATTGCAAATTTAGGCTTTTATGGTAACATTAAATACAACACAAATTGACAGCAAGTTCAAATTCTTTAAGAAGCTGCAAGTATTCACGCAGATAAACTGTACAGTGGGTCATGTCATACAGTGCATAGCTTTACAATATTTTGGGTCAAAAGAAATACTTAAAAGGCACTGCTAGTAATTTGCACAATTTAGAAATTACTTAAAGACTTTCATAAATCCTTTTTAACACTACAATCAGTGAGTCACGTTATACACAACTGAGCAATATGACTATCTTGAATGCATATAATTCAGTAAAAATGGACACTGAGATCAATTTGGGTATGCATAGCAATCGTAAGCCTAGTTTGCTGCAAACACATGAATAATCACTTAACATCAGCAACACGTTTGTCCAGTTTAGTAAATGTGAAAAAAAAATCATGTCTGTGGTAAGCTGCACAATTCCAAAGAATAAATTCTGAAAACAATGACTGTAGCATTATGTAACTTATGGTTTATGAGTAACACAGTACTATTCTATGAGCACCTACACAAATACAGTAAAATACTGATGAGAATGTGTTTGCATTAAGACTTCTGACGTCCCTCTTCGCTTCCAACTGGAACCATCCTTTGGTTAAATTGAGTCTCAAAAAAACTGTCCAACATCTGTAACTTGGAATTCATAATACCAAAGTGGCATCAATGTGTTTGATGAGAAACTGACAAACTTTTTTTGGGGTCATTGTGTTTTTTTTTAATAGTCATAATGTTTTATGCAAAATTCTCAGGCTTGAGATTTTGCAGAATTTGATTTTGCAGGTTTGGAGTTGGTGGTCCAGCTGTAACAGTCTGTCACACTTTTGTTGCGTGGCTCAACAGCACAGCTTGTGCAGTACACAATGCCTAGTGCTAGCATAACCACAATAAAGACACAAAGAGGCACTAATAGTGCCACTAGCAGCCAGCTTCTGTCCTGCTTTTTCTTGCCACCTGGAAGTTGTTCTGGGCTGGCAGCAGATGGTAAACTACCCTCAAGCATTTGGGATGTTGATGGAGTGATCCTATCAGAATGTCCTTTGTTCTTTGGTGCAAGTGATGATGCAGTTGACATCCTGTGGTCACCTTTTACTGTCTCATCAATGGCTGCTGATATCCTGTCGTCAGACCAGAGATTTGCTTCATCGTCAATGTTTGAACCAGCAGGTGTACTTGAGGTCATAGCATCTGATGTTAGAGAATAGGTGGTCTTCTCTGTCCACCCGGGTTCCTGTGAGGTAATATGGTTCTCCTCTGGTATGTCTGTAAACCAGCCCAAATCTTTGGGAAGCCACTCCATGCTTGGTGGATCAGTAAGCCATTCCAGAGTGCTGGCATCTGTCACCACATCAGTCGTGTAGCTAGTGTCGTCCCAAGGGAGGGATGTTGGATCAGCTGGTTCAACAGTTGTGTAGTGCCCGGCTTCTTTATCAACGAGCACACATGTATATTGGTCCTGGTGCAACTCGAAGCCTGTCTCGCAGTGACACTCAAATCCACCCATGTAGTTTTTACATATCTGCTCACAAGTGCCAGAAATTTGGCACTCGTCAATATCTTCACAGCGGTCTGGATCCTCAGGCAGAGGAGAGAACCCTTCATAGCATAGACATGTGTAGGATCCAGGGGAGTTTTCGCAGGACTGCTCGCAGCTGTCTTCCTTACATTCATCCACGTCCAAACACTCTCCAAACTCAGACAGCTGGTAGCCCTCATGGCAGCGGCATTCAAACGTTCCGGGCGCATTGACGCAGATCTGGGGACACGGATTTTGGGAGCACTCATCAATATCAAGGCAGTTTTGACCATCCTGCGAGAGGAGGTACCCCTCTGGACACTTGCAGCGGTATCCCCCAGAGCTGGGTTCACAGTCAAACTCACAGTCTGCGCTGTGGCATGGGTCCAAAGGCAGGCAGCTCTGCCCATCCTTCCCTAGGTTGAAATTGTCTGAGCACTCACAGTGATAGTGAGAACCTTCATTTACACAGTAGTGCTCGCAGCCTCCATTGTCCTGCTCACACCAATCCTTCGGAGCATCGGAGCAGAGAGGTGCATCCTTGGACCATCCTACACTTCCGTCCTCATGTAGCATGCAGAGCACAGACTGGTCTCCTTTGGTACTTTCTGGACAAGGCAGAGTGGCCACAGAGCCAAACGGGATATGGGTGAGCAGTGTGCTGAGCAGGTTGAAGGGGGTGGTGTAGAGCGCAGGGCCTCTCCCTTCACTCTTCAGGGCTGGACACATCCCTCGATAAGTGTAGCGGCACAAGAAACCATCCACAGCCAGCATGCAAGAACCATCTAGCCACTTGAAGTTGCTCTGGTCACTACTGCTTTTGTCTGCGGTGTTGTAAGTAATTACCACACAGCGAGGTGCAGTACAGGCACTGGGTAAGTCATCACGTTGCCAGTTGGTGTACTGTGTGTCCTGGTCCCCTGTGATCCAGGTGAAGCCCCTCAGGGGACGAGTGGCAGAGCACTGGCGAGGCTGCCGCTGGAGACCAATCCATAGCCTAAGTCTGGGTCTGGGACCTCGCCGTTCTCCAGCAGAGAGCAGCTCATGGATCAGTGTTGCCTCTTCTGGTCGCTTCACTGTAGCCAGGTTGCCCCCTTTCTCCTTGCAGCTCCTCCAAGACTCACGGAAAGTCTTGCGTTGGAGGTGAATGGAGTAGCATCCCTCGGCATTGCACACGCCATCCTGTTCATGCAAGTTTTGTCCAGAAATCCCCAGAGGCCAGTAAATAAAAAGCACTGCAAGGATAAGATAGTGATATGCAGCACAGCACATCTTCCTCAGAGTCCAATCTATGTGCCTCCTTTGTTCAGTCAGCATCTTATTCTCTTAAGTTCTCCTCTGTTTTACTTATTTTTAGTTCTCCTTTCCCCGTAACTTTTGCAATTGTTCATGAACACGCCTGAAGCTCTGGACACTCTGCTTAGAAAGGCTTTTGTCTGCAGCCCGTCTGCAGCAGAGAGACGATGAGGGAGGGCATGGACGTATGTTTTGGAAGAGGGGGCGGGTAATGAGTGAGTGAGTGTGGAGGGAAGGGGGAGCTTTGGCCTGTGGTTTTTCCCCCGGTGCCGTATGGTTTTCATAAACCTCTTTAAGGAAATAGTTTGTAACCCTGCCAACAGCCCCCCCAAACTCCACCCCCTGGTCATCCACCAACAGCATCACTACAACTACACACCATCACAAATTCTTTTGTGAGCCTAGAAACCTATTGTAATGATTCTGCAACAGGTTTCTTTCTTTTCCCACTTTTTCCTAGTGTACTGCATTTCTCATAGTATCTTACATGACAATGCAAATTTCCTTTTATGTATGAGAAGGTTTTTTTAAGAAATAGTTCTTAGAAATTGATGCACTCTATGTTGTATTACTGCATTAAATCTGAGTGCTTTGAAGTTTCCAGGAACTTTGAACAAAAAATAAAAATGTGAAATGTGTGCATCCGGTGTTGACCAGAGGAGGATGGGTTCCCCTTTACAGTCTTGGTTCCTCTCAAGGTTTTTCCTTGCCACTGTCACCACTGGTTTGCTCAAGGGTTCTCGGACCTAGATATTTTTTCTGTAAAGCTGCTTTGTGATGACACCTGTTGTAAAAAGGACCATATAAATAAACTTTCACTTGACTTTGACTTGACATTGTCTCAGTAACAATGATCGGATGTTTTTTTATTGGTTAACTTTGATGGGTAAATATACTGTACATTGCCAAAAATAATGTATGGTCAGATTCCTTTGAAATTACCCTTTACACAATCAGCTATGCACTGTCAAAGTAAACAAAATAAGATTTGAACAATTTTGTAGTGATGTTGTTTGTAGGTTTTGATAGTAGAATACACTGGTGAGAGCGATGTTTATCCAATTCAGTCTGGAGAGAAAGCACAGTAATTGAGGATTATGCTAAGTATAAGAAATGTGATCTTTCTTGTCCTGTTCAGTTTGGATTAGAATCAAGCTGAAGTTCAAAACTTCACCAGGAGACAGCAGATCGTCTTGTTTTGCATAGCAGGGACAGACTGTCTGCTTTTATTCACAGTAAAGACCACAGCTCTCTACCAACATCCCCATCAAAGTTAAATTGCTCTCTTTAAATGACTCACAAATTTGCTGGTGAACAAATTTCCAACAAATGTTGCCATAACTCCACAGCAGGAAACTACATCTGGTCCTGAATCTATCTACAAGACAGCCACACTTTGTTTCCCCGGCCTACACCGTTAAATGTGTGGATCAGATTTAATTGGCTTTACAGGTCATATTTTTATTAATAACAATTCTATAACATTTTACTAGGTGAGCTGATGAAAACGCAAATGTCCTGTCAGATGAGGTTTGGTGTAGACAGTGAACGAGTAGCTATTGAGTGGATGAATATAGGGTATTGTAGCTGTGCCAGCAGCCAGTGTAGAAGCTGTCTGGAAGTCAGACAACCAAAGTGATGACTGCTTTTGTTCTCTCTGAGGCAAACCTTTCCCTGTCTGTAAATCAAATCAGCCTTTAGTTACCGTTGCCCCCGGCCTTGAGTTCAATCTTAGTCTCTCCTCAGTTAACATTTTTGTTTCCTTTAGCCAAAATGTACCTTTCACAAATTCATCCCAAAAAATGCATTGTTCCTTTCCAATTCAAACAACTCAGTCCTGGCTCTGGCCTTGCTTTCCTTTCCCTGGACTCGGATGCCCTTCACCAAGGTAGGCTTGTACAAAACTTGTAAGAAAAAAAAAAAGAAATTCGCTCTTATGAATATTTATTGTGTTTACATAGAAGGGACAAGAGAATTATTTTATTTAAATTGCAAGCTCTTTAAACCTGACCTTGTAGCTGGAAATAAATAGCTGACATAAAGTAACTTCTTTTGTGTATATAACCCTCCAGAGACACTGATCTTCCCGGACTCTTTTTTCCAACTCCCCAGATGTTGAAGCACGCTTACTGTAGACACATCTGGCCTGTATTCCACACTGTCTGTTTAGATTTGCATCTTTCCCTGAAATGGACGAAGGTTTGTGAAATGAGATCAGAAAGTCATAGAAGTGAAGCTGTCAAGACTGCACTTGTATTTTGTATTATGGAATATTTTTATGATACAAAGTCTATGCACATAGAAACGGTTTGAACGAGGGTCAGTTGAACAATATTTTCCAGCACTGTGTAAAACCATCTCATTAAAAAAAAAAAGATCCAGATTCAGTTCCAAACTCTCAAAAGTTTGCACAGCCTGAAGATGTTCAGTGTTTAAATAAAACATTCTCCATTAATTTGAGAACTTTTCTCAAAATGCAGCTGTTCTGATCTGCAGTTCGGCCAGCAAACCATGCAGAAAACGTAAGGTATGTAATAGTATGCCCTACCAGCTCTGTAAAAACCATATCCAAAAAACGACGTGCATAGTTTTGAATAGGTTTATCGTGCCCAGGTGTGCAGGGCATCTGATGGTCTCCAGCTACAGCCTCTGCAGGTCTGTGTGTCTGCAGCTGTTAATGTCCATAAAAAGAATAGCTTGGCCGTAATGTCAGTCTGCAGAGGAAATGCTACTATCAGATTGGCCTTAGCCTTTGACTGTGATTTCAAGACAAATAAATAATGGTCACAAGCATGTGGGGTCACTTCCTGACCTGAGTCTGCAGACTGTGGAGATGTTATCATGTAGGTACTGCTTGTGCACAAACCATTTCTTCATGCTCCATTCATTTTTGGGGGTTTCCCCATGCCACCATGCAACTCATCACTTAACAGTATATACAATATCTTCATAAATCAGTTTCATATACATTTTATTAACCAACACATATTATTGTAACTCATCTTGTTTTTAAATCAGGTTATCAAAAGTTCAGAAGCGCTAACATTAAAATCTCATGCCCAATTCATCAAATATGACAAGTGTGATTATGTTTATTGTTGCAAATTACAAGTGTGCTTATCAGATGATAGACCCTCTATGCAAAGTGAAAAATTGTAAATAAAGTGTGAAATCAAATAAACCTTTTGAATACTTGTTTATTTGCATTTGTAGCTCTTTTAAAGTTTCATGTTTGGTATTTCTATGTGATTATTGAATTCCTTTCACTTGTAGAGTTGGTGTTTTATTGTGATTATTGGGCTCCTTCAGTGGCTGGTACTTTTAGTGGTATATTAATCTCCTTGAAAGTTTAATGTTTGGCGTTTACCGTGTGATTATTGTTTAAAATTTACTGTTGTCGCTGTGATTTCTGGGCTCTATTAATGTTTAATGTTTCTATATTTTAATGTTACATAAGCTCCTTTAAAGTGTACTGTTTGGTATTTTTAATGTGATTATTGAGCTCCATTAAAGTTTACTGTTGGGTACTTTCAATGTAATTACTGAGCAACAGTCAAGATAAAATGCTCAGTTGATCTGATCGCAATTATCAGACTGCATCTTTTACTTTATACTTCTAATGAGAACGCTGTTTGTAGGTTTGTAGGAGTGTGAGCCACCCACTTCTTTACCATACCCATAATCACAGTGGTGGGGCCTTGGGGAATTTCCTGATGAGGAATGTTGGGAAACTGTCGTTCATTTTGAGCGGGTGGGATGTGGGGGGCAACATCAACATCCTGTTTCCCTCTTTCTGGACACTCTGTGCACTCGGAGACTGGAATGCCCTACAAACCGGCTGCAATAGCCTGGATTTAACAGGACACCCACTAACCCTGTGACCCCCACATGCTTAACTCTTCTGCATTTGCTTTTTTCACTTTCCTTAGTTTCAGTGAGCCAAGAGGTCCCCAGTTAAGTTTGACTGCTGTGGTGAAACACAATCCATGGCACTCAGGAGATTTATCAGCTGGACATGCATCAGAAAAGATACATAAGGTCTGCAAGATGAATGCAGATGTGATTATGAATAAGCAGTAAAGGTATGATGTGTTCTGAACAAAAATGGGAAGCTAATTTGCTGGGTAACTTTTTTCTAATCCAGTACACAAGCTGCTTGCACTATTTCACTCTGTCAGCGGCTACTTATGCTCTCTGCCAGTTTGGATAGTGCTGCCAACATTGGCTCACTGCAAATAATTGCTCTATTAATTTTCCATTGTAACCTCTTTGATACAGTGGCCTTTTGATGCTCTTTAGACATGCAGTGTGTAAGCAGGATGTCAAGCTCAAGCCACGTGTACAGTATTTTAATAGAATTTGTCCTGAAACAGCCAAAGACTGACGTGTCCTTGGAACGCAATTTCATGGAGTCTTAGTACTATAATTTTAGGTGTTATCAGAAGTGTAACTACTGGGGGACAGGGGGTGCAGCCTCACAAGGGGCCATGGAGCAGGGGGGCCTGTGGCAACCAAGCCCCCTAAAATCTTTATTGGGCCCTTTATATAGACATTAAAAATATTTTTCATTCTTCAGATAGGAGAATATCAAACTTAATTTTTGCCTCACATCTGAAAAAATCCACAGGTGTTTTTTCAATCCTTCAACTGCGAAGACTATGCGTCTGAAGGGATGTTTAGCTGTCAAGAAGCTGTAAGTGAGAAAAGGAAGTGGACAAAAAAGAACATTTGCAAATTAAACAAACAATCTGCTGGAGTTCTCAAAATAATGGACTGAACCTCAGAGTCCAGACCTCAACATCAGGGAATGTGTTTGGGATTACTTGAATTGTAAGAAACAGAAAATGCAACCAATTTCTAAGACTGAACTTGAAAACCGTGGACAAATATTCCTGCAGATTTCTTTGAAAAACTTAAAGCAAGTAAATAATAAAAAGGGTGGTCTCTGACTTTTGTGCAGTACAATGCCTCAAAAATTAGCTTCCACTAGCACTACACAAACAGGCATGAAGTCTATTTATCTACCTCTTATTCATAATGCATCTTTTTAATGGTGACCAGAGGTGGGCAGTAACTACTTACATTTACTCAAGTGCATGTACTAACTAAGAATGTACTAACATGTACTAAGTACAATATTGATGGATTTGTACTCTCTTGAGTATTTTCAAATCACAATACTTTTACTCGAAGTTTAAGTAAA